TTACAGCAGACAGTGGTGTTTAGACTTTGCTGGTATAAAAAGAGAACTTCGGGCACTAAACAAAGTTGATAGTGCAAATGTAATGGGGGACACACAGCTTAGGCTGTGTATTTATGCTATTTATGCATTTATGGATTGAACGGATCAAACATTTAAGATGGCATTAAAGTTAACAGACCTGAAGCCCACTGTCAAGTCCTTCTTTAATAAGCTAGTAACTTTAGCCCAGAAATGAGTTGGCACTAGCCAGGTGAGTGAGAGAACTGAACTGTGCATGAAATCCAGCACAGACATCGCGCCAAAGAGCTGAAGTCCTTCTTCAGAGGAAAAGTGGGCCAAATAAATCATGTACATAAACGGCAAAGTATGGCACAATTCATCAGCTTATACTTAAATTGATATATAATAACCTAATCATCATCATGTCTTATTATCATCATGCTGTTAGCCTATAGAGCTCTACAGTGACTACATAAAAAGGTGGAAACTTCTTCCAGAAGTGATTTTCCCATTTATTGTGTTCCACAAGTCTTCATCTCACGTCATCGTCATCACCTCAATAATACCATCCCTACAGTCAAACATGGTAGTGGCAGCATCAGACTGTGGGCATGTTTTTCTGTGTGTGGGATTAGGACACTAGTTGGGATAGAGGGAAGGATGGATGCAGAAAACTACAGAGCAATTTCAAATGAAAACCTTCTCCAGACTGCTCAGGATCTCACACTAGGAGGAAGTTTACATTTCAACAAGAAGCTGAAGCAAACTGCCAAGAAAACACTGGAGTGGCTTCAGGAAATTCAGTCAAAGTCCTGAAGTGGCCCAGCCAGCATCCAGACCTGAATCCAATAAAACATCTCTGTAGAGACCTGAAAATGTCTGTGCACCAATGTTCCCCATCCAAACTGGCTGAACTTGAATGATTCTGACAAGATGAATAGAAGACAATTCCAAAAAATGCCAAGAAGACTTGAGACTCTCATTGCTGTCAAAGGCGCTTAAAGTGAATGTTATTAAGTGAAGGGTCTGAATACTTATGTAAATAAGATATTTCTTTTATTTTAATACATTTACAAAACAATCCAAAAACCTGTTTTTGCTTTGTCATTGTGAACTATTGTGTGTACACTGATGAGGGAAAAAATTAACTGAGTCCATCTAAAGATTAATCTTAAACATCAAAATGTGGAAAACCTGAATATATTCACTGTATACTTTCTGAATCCACTCTAGATCAGTCTATAGCTTTGCTACAAAACAACCAGAATCAGCTAATCACTCACGACAGTCCACTTAGACTAATCATTCTAATCACATATATATGAGACTGTTGTGATTCAAAGAGGCTCAAATAGCCAGCTATGACTGCCATTACCTTTTAAATTGAAATAACCTTGCTGGGAATGAGGGGCTGGGGATGGCCAAGAGCTTGTTACAAGAAATAAAGGGTTAAGTGGAATTCAGAGCCTCTGCATTGCAAAAGACTAAAGCTCCTCTTCTTATGCCATAGAGCTGTTGATTTGGACACCCAGTGCCTCACTTGGAAGCATTGCTCTGGCAAACAGTGTGCTTAATCCCAGGATTTGTTCTATTATACTGCCACCTGAAGCAGGGTTTAAAAATCTAATGTATAAATATGACCCTAAACTGATATTATCTTCTTAAAATAAATTACAGAATATATTTAATATACTGTTGAGGGAAGATAAAAACTCATATGATTGCTTTAACATTTACCTTCATTTAAGTATCATGGGAAAGTCTAATGGGAATAAGCAGATGTCGGCATTAGTACCTGCACTTGACAACAGCCAGTCACAATGGGCACCATTTCACCATCTGACAGATGAATCTAATAATCACCTCTCATACAGTGTCAGGTTTCTGGAGCCTGTAAAATGCGCCTCCCATGCCCCAAAACTACCCTTTGGCCCATTAAGGCTGATTACGTGCCGATTATCCTGCTGGTGACCTCTGACCTCATCAGCACAATGCTGTGCTAATCAGTGCCCCAGGGGCATAAGATGGAAAGACGGATGAGGCTGTTGTTCACACTCTTCAACTACTTAGGTGCATTCATCAGCTTCACACAGGGCACAATCTGCAAAGCTACTGTATGTCAACTTCTTTGGAACCAGGAAAAGCAACAACTTTGACTTTTTCAATGGTTTAAAAAAAATGAGCCAATTTTAATGAAAATAAAGATTTGTAAAATCAGCCTGTTGAGGACCATTTACACTTCTAACTTTTTGCCTGCATGAAAATCACAGATCTGGAATTTAAAAACCACAAATTTTAACCAAACAGCAAATTAGAATCAGAAGAGATAGATGAATCATTGATGTAATTTAATCTCACATGAATTCAGTAGCTTTTTTCGACACCAGGACCATTAAGGGGAATTCATGGTTTCCACATACACTTGTGCGTATATGGACACAGATGAGTGGCTCGCCCAATTTATACTTCCAAAAGAGGGTCTGACTTCTGTCCACATATACCGACATTCTCCAAGCATGTGCATTTTGATGTTCTTTCCACACTGTTAGAAGAACTGTTTACAAAATTAGCAGCTCAGAAACCACCTGTCTGCGACACAGGTACTGCATCACAATGCTTTTAGATTTTAGAATAACAAAACATGTTTTGTGTTAAAAACATGTAAAGCATATATTAATATGCATATTATAAAAGTAAAAGTTTCAAAATAAGTTTTAAAAATGAGCAATGATAGGAAGATATATTCAATAGTTATTACTTTTCCACCTCTTGGAGGTCAAGTAAATAATCATTAAATTAAACTAGCACACTGTTATTAACCAGTTTTATCCAGATAAGTAATTAATGTTAAACTATTCATATTGTGGTAGTGCTTCATTTGATGTACAGTTGTGCCAGTGATTTACATATCAATGTCAATTTACTCAACAACAGTAGGTCTAAGCCTGAGAGAACTGCATCATTTCTTGTCAAGTCTGTCAAAGGCTACATCATCAGGGGAGGCGACAGTGGTGCGGTGGGTAGAGTAGTTGTCTCCCATCCTGAAGGTTCGAATTTCGGTGCCTCCAGTCTATATGTCAAAGTGTCCTTGGGCAAGACACTGAACCCCCGTGATGGCGGCATGTAAGCATGCAGCGGCCCGTGCATTGTACGTGTTACAATGACAATAAATAAAGCTGCTTCTTAAAGTTATATTTACTTTTACTGTTTCGCACAAAAATATACTGTGTCTGCCCCTGATACCCAATACATGCCAAATTCATTTCCATCCTGGAAAACATTTCAAGATCTGACTGTTGCAAAGAACCAGTCTTCACCTTTCCCCTCCCTTAGTGCACTGCATTGCTACAAATCAGACAAACTCTTAAATACATGGCTTCAAATACTGCTAGAAAAATTCACAGGGCTGGAATTGAATACAACAGATTTATAACTAAAAACCTGCATGAGGGTAAAAGCTCAAATGATATGGGCACTACAAATAGCATTCTGTAAAATGTAGAATCCTGTGTTTTTGGAAATTGACACATAAAAGAGGAAAAATCTGTATAACTCTATCCCTATTTAATCGTTTGCCCAATCAACTTCTGTTTTTTTCCTCACATGGGTCCTCCACCTTTATAAAATTGCAATCACTGTAGTGCCATTAAAAATGTTTAGGAATATTAGACCTTTGTGGGTAACGCAAATTTTAATAGTAATGTTGAATTTTTTTACCTTTTTGAAAAACTTTCAGTTTTCAAATGTTTTGTACCAATCTAACTGATTTGTTACTGTTTAATTTGCTAAATTATGCACAATTTGGCAGGCCTGTCGTTTCTCTAATTATTTACCAGAAATCGTGCATTAATACTGCCAAAGAATATACAGTGTACCACGACAGAGGATTTTATCCACTGTCCCTCTTGGGTTCGCAAACATTCCATGTAATGGTCTACTGGACCGGACCTCTTGGGGCCTGCTACATTTGGAAAAGAAAGTCCACTCCAGGCTCCTGGGTTTTGACTTAACCCTACACACTGAAGTCTTACAGAGAAATCCTATTCAAATAAAATCTTCATCAAAACTACTACTGGCTCACAACAACTACTTCTTTAGCCTTCCTAGTATAAATTGCTGTATTGTGCTGAGGTATTATCATTAAAGCATGTTACCGACCAGTTGTTCCTAATAAGTTCATATCTTTTAACTGGTAAATACCCTCAATTTGAATCCCTGTAGACTTAAATATTTAGGTTAAGCCTTTAGCTGATCTGTGCTGCAGAGAAATGTAGTGCAAGACTAATTTATTAAGTTTTTTTCCAAGCCCGAGTGCATCAAATACACCACAGGTTCTGATTAATATCTGTATTACTTAATATATTGTTGTTTGCAGACATCTCTCACATAGGCATGGTTCTCCTAAACTCCCTCCAAAACCTACACTTTATATACACTGTGTCAGATTATTGTGGTGTCTTCCATCAGTAATTCCCTAATGGGGAACGGGGTTAATATGAGGAGAACACTGAGGGAATAGCATGTGAGAAGGAGTACAGACACATGAATACACATGACTTCAGGGGAGGTCAGAGAGACTACCCCACGTTTTAAAGCATTACCTAAAAGTAAAACAACGTCATAAAAAACCCAGCACTTTGTTAACGTTACCATAAAAACTATGCTAGGAGCCAGTGAAACGTTGTTAGGTATGACGCCACGACGTGTTGGGTTGAGAGGAGGCGCTTAGTGACAGCATAACGTTAAAACTGTAGTTGTAAGGTGTCACAGTAAATTCGCCACAGCAGACTCATATAAAGCTATAAGTTGCTCAAAAGCCACCGTGACAGCTAAATGAAGTCCGAATATTCATTTCTTTCGTAACTGGAGGAACGTAGTTCAACTTAGCAGAATTCTAGCAGACGCCTATGAAAGTTACGTAGTACAAAAACAGCTAAAAAAACCAGGATATTTCAGATAAAAACACTCACAAGATAAACGGAATAAAAAATCAGACTAACCTCTAAGAGAAGGTGCCACACAATTCCCACCGTACGGACGGAGACGGTGCTACCTACTCCGACAGACCCCGTGAAGAAACTACACAGAGCACACTGCACTCTTTACAATATAAACAATCTACGTACCCCCCCCCCCCCCCCCCCCGCCGCCGCCGTCTCCCTCGCCGCCCCGCCGCCATTCCCCTTCCACACCTAGTCCACTCCACTGTCTGAAAGAAGCATCTTTCTTCTTTTTTTATTTAACTAATGCTAAAACGTGATGCTGTTAGTTATGTGAACTTATTTTCAAATGATAAAGGGATCTCATTTTTTTGACAAACGACATAATTATGAAAACTGAATTTTTAAAAAAGGTGACATCCGAGCAAGTCCCTGCTCTGTGACTTTTATAATAAAAAAAAAGTCCCTAATCTGTGACTCTGTCTCTCTCTGACCCCCAAAGCCATAGATACTAGAGTGGGGCCCAGTCCTGGGGAGGAAGGGTGTGTCTGTCATTCCTCTTCTCTTTGTGCTCTTCTAAGACAATAGCTTTCCAAAGAATGGAACCAGATAGTGGAGAAGTACAGAGTGTATGCAGTGAAACAACAATTCTGTGATGACACCGACACAGTTTCTTCAGCTATATAGAAATGTTTGTCTCATCCAGTGAGTCACAGTGATAGGAGCAGATTTAAACTGTGCTGCACTTATCCACACATATAATGTACTTCCCAGTTTCAGAATGAGGAGATAAAGACCAAGGAGCAGGCCTAAGTCTAGCCTATGTGAAGGGTATGGGGAAATATAGATTCTCAAAAGATTCTGTGGCAAAACATAAAAAGTTTGTTACCAAAAAATTCAATGCATATTAAATGAATACTGCTACCTTTCATTGTGTAAACTGTAAATATAAATATTTACTTTAACTGATTAATTGTAAAACATGAATTATTTAATATGATTTTAAAAAGTCAATAGTAATTGATTTGTTAAATGTTGATTCCATTAATGGAAAGTCTATGCCAGGTACTGGAGAGGAGAATTTGACCGATAGTCGAACCTCGGATTCAAGAGGAACAGTGCGGTTTTCATCCTGGCCGCGGAACACTGGACCAGATCTATACCCTCTTCAGGGTGGTGGAGGGTTCATGGGAGTTTGCCCAACCAGTCCACATGTATTTTGTGGATTTGGAGAAGGCATTCGACCGTGACCCTCATGGCACCCTGTGGGGGGTTCTCCGGGAGTACGGGGCCCGGGGCCCTTTATTGAGGGCTGTCCAGTCCCTGTACGACTGGAGCAGGAGCTTGGTTCACATTGCTGGCAGTAAGTCGGACTTGTTTTCGGTGCATTTTGGACTCCAGCAGGGCTGCCCTTTGTCACCGGTTCTGTTCATTATTTTTATGGACAGAATTTCTAGGTGCAGCCAGGGGCCGGAGGGAGTCCGGTTTGGGGACCACAGGATCTCATCTCTGCCTTTTGCAGATGACGTTGTCCTGTTGGCTCCATCAAACCAGGACCTTCAGCGTGCACTGGGGCGGTTTGCAGCCGAGTGTGAAGCGGCTGGGATGAGAATCCAAGGCCATGGTTCTCAGTCGGAAAAGGGTGGCTTGTTCCCTTCAGGTTGGTTGAGAGTTCCTGCCCCAAGTGGAGGAGTTCAAGTATCTTGGGGTCTTGTTCACAAGTGAGGGAAGGATGGAACCGGAGGTTCACAGGTGGATCGGTGCAGCTTCTGCAGTAATGCGGTCGATGTACC